CCCCCCTTTCTCCGCACTTTGCCCCCGCCTTCAATTACCCAGAACCTCCTACGGCGGATGCTGGAAAAAGACCCAGAGCATCGGATAGACCTCAAGGCCGCGATCAGTCACCCCTGGGTTACGGTTGAGGGGTCAATTCGCCCGGAAGGCCTGGAGGCCTTGGAAGAGCCCGGCGGCAACGACGGCGAGCTTCAGGTGCGGTGTGGTTCGGTCTCTGTCGTCCTTTTCCGCCTCGGAGCGGTAAATGATTTGTGCGTGCCACCTTTGGCCTCGGTGGGGGACTTCCCCCCCCTCCCCCGTAACCTAGGTATTTCATTCTCGTTAATAGAACAAAACAAACAGTCGCTCGCTGTTGCATGTGTTGGTCGTTGCTACATGTTTGTACGCCCATAGTTTTACACGTATCATGCATATGGAAATCGGTTCAGCTTCGGAACCGAAGAAGTAACGTATTTCGTTTTTTCAACCGTGTCCGATGGCGACTGACTGACGGTTGGTTTCGACAGGTTACCGATGGCGAGCTACTGGATGCGTGGACGATATTTCCGGCGACTCCTACTCCTCGGGGACGGGATGTCTCGTACTCCCCACGGTACTTTGTTGGTGTTGTTGTTGTTGTTGTCGTTGTTGTTGTTGTTGTTGTTGTTGTCGTTGTTGTTGTTGTTGTTGTTGTTGTCGTTGTTGCTGTTGTTGTTGTTGTTGTCGTTGTTGCTGTTGTTGTTGTTGTTGTCGTTGTTGTTGTTGTTGTTGTTGTTGTTGTTATTGTTGTTGTTGTTGTTGTTGTTGTTGTTGTTGTTGTTGTTGTTGTTGCTGGGGCTGTGCCTCTGTCGTTGCTGTTGCTGCTGCTCATGGCAGTGCCAAAATCACTCGTTGAAGTGAGCAAGGCACACATACCCCCTTGGATTGTGTCAGCGCGTACAGAGAACCCGCCTTTGGACTCATTTTTTGTGTTTCGTTGCCGTATGCTACCCCAACCTCGTTTCTGTTTTTCTGTGTCTGCTGATCGGTGTTCCACGACTACATTTACGTCAAAGGGAACGGGGAAGATGAAATGAAGCATGTTTACCTCCCTCCCTGCGTGTTACCGTGGTCAAAGGGGGCCAGGCTTCTGCCACGACCTTTGCCACAGAAATAAAACCAACGAGAGACACCAGCAGCACTAGGGCGGACAACAACTGATTGTGGTTGCCTCTTTGGTGGAAGCTATTGACCAGTGTTGCTCTGCGTTTTTTTTTTTCCGTTCCGTTGTTTTGATCTCGCCCTCCTGGTGTTGTACCGCCAGTTCCCCGTCGCCTTCGTGGAGGGGGTCCCGATGGGCGCATCGCGCCCACCCCCGGAAGACAGGAGAATTTTTTCCGTCGCAGGAGAGATGCGTCGACGGCGGCTGGCGCTGTGACAGGTGTGACCTGCGCCCCGCTCTCCCCCCGTTTGAGCGCCGCCTACGTTGGGCTCAGTCTTAGTATAGTGAAGTCCACACACAAGCGCGCACGCAGTTTATTGGCGGCGTCTCGTTGTGGAGCATAGTGATGATGTTATGAGGATGTAGTGTACGCTGTGACTGGACGAGCACGCCGTCATGCCCGTGGGTCAATTGACTAACCCTGATGCCTCGACAGCAGTGTAATGAGTTCGCTGCCAGTAGGGAACGTCGATGCATCCTGGGTAGCTCTTTCTCTCCCTGTTGTCTGTCTCGCGATAAGATCTTCGCTGCCTCCCTCCTGTGCAAAAGTATCGTGGTTATTTCAGCAAGTCGAGAGGGGGCAGGGGGGAATTATTCGGTAACGTACGGTGCCCCTTCCCCTTGTCCTCGGTCGCCTCAGCAGCACAATCCCGAAACTGCTGTATCGTACAAACGTTAACGTTGCCGTGGCCGTGGTTTGTTCTTTTCTCTCATTGAGATGTTGGAAATGGTGTCATCGGATACCAGGAAACACGTGTGGTGTAGTGGTAACATGTAACCCTCCCAAGGTTACGCCCGGAGTTCGATTCTCCGTACGTGTAATTTTTTTCTCGCGGAATTGCGATGTTGGTGATTGAATCCATCCCAATGTATTGTCTTGTTACAGGCAATTTTACAACGGCGCATTCCTCGTTTCTGCATGCAGAGTCCCGGTCATTGCCCTTGTTTCCTTTTAGGTGCTTCTTTTTTATTTTCGTTTGGGAACAAAAATTAGTCGCGGCCTTGGAGGAATATTTGTTGGAGTCATTTTTTTTTTTAAGTTGTACCCCCCCTTCGGTGGGGCAGTTGGCTTGTGACCACGGAAGGCGTCCGCGTCAGTTGGCCCAGTACGGACATTAGAAGGTACTGAGCTGAGACCGGAACGGTTTTTAATGTGAAGACAACAGCAACAATAGATGATTTGCAAGCTTGTTGTTTTCCGAGCACCCTGAACAAAAACGAGTTGGTTTCCTGTTTTTTTTTGTCGGCGTAAAAATCTGTTGTACCCCATTGGAGACCCGCCCCGAACCAACGACCATGTTGGTCACCTATTTTCGTCCCTACTCAACATCGGTCGCCCCGGTGGTCTAGTGGTAGCCTCGAAACCGCTAGTTGCAAAGTCGTGAGTTCGAATCCCCATGGGGTGAAAACTTTACAACTCTGCCGGCGAAAGCGAACAAAAGCTGAAAAGGCTCTCATTGTGAATTACCAAGTTCGACGATAGCACCGTATACGAGGGAAAGGGACGGCCGGACCCTTCTCGCGATAATAGGTAAAATTCAGCACGCATCGCAGGAGGAGCGTGGGGCACGAAATTAAAAATAAAAAGAAGAAAACAGCCCCTGTGTTTACCCCCTCCTGTGTGACCCCGGATGGTTATATATAGCTGTACGAAAAAATACACTGAAAAGTGTAGTACTTACCCTACATAACCTGAAAAGTATAGTACATGTCTCACCACGAAAAATGGGGGACCGTCGCCAATAAATAGGACGAAAGCAACGACACCGCCACCCCTTTCCGCCTCTCCCTCCCTCCCGCCCACCCTCCCGCCGCCCCCGCTCCTCCTAATT